CATTCCTGTCACCAAGCCCATGCTTTCCAACCACTGATTCTTCTTCACTATTCCCAACTTTTGCATTCCAGTCACCCATTATTATCAATGCATTTTGATTGCATGTTCGATCTATCTCCGACTGTAAAAGTTGGTAGAAATCATCTATTTCTTCTTCTTTGACTCTGGGAGTCAAGCCCAAAACAATGAAGTTCATACAAGACAAATCAAGTTTAGAAGCCCTAGTCTATGGTAAAAAGAGACTGCCAATACACCCAGAAAAGCACAATCTGAAGAGGATAAAATTGATGAATAGCACCTTCTAAAGAGTAAATCCCTGTGAGCATAATAAAACACTTATTCCAACAGTGTGAAAAGAAAACCTACTGACTGGGACCAAACATTTGGTAATACCATCACATACAAGAGTCTCATAGTGAAAGTTTACAGAATACATCTTGGGTTCCACAAGAAAAAGACTTATAACAACTACTTATTGGGCAAAAGACATGGGAAAAAAATTTCACAAAGGAATATATTTGAATGGCCAACAAATACATGAAGAAATGCTCAAAATCACTGGCAATAAGAGAGGCAAATCAAAACCACAATGAGATACCTCACTCCAGTAACAGTGACAAAGGTTAAAGACAGCGAGTAATAAATGTTGGAGAGGATGTGGCGAGAAAGGAACTCTTATACGTTGCTGGTGGGATTGCAAAATAGTGCAACCATTCTGGAAGGCAGTTTGGCACTTCCTCAAAAAGATAAATATAGAAATTCCATATGACCCAGCTATTCCACTGCTTGGAATATAACCTGAGACAATGAGAACTGAGGCACAAATGGAGACTTTGCAGCACTATTCACCATCACAACAACATGGAAACAGCCCAGATGTCCAACCACAAATGAATGGATAGAGAAATTATGGTACATACATAAAATGGAATACTACATAGCACAAAGGAGCAATGATTTTGTAAATTATTACCTAACTTGGGAGGGACTGGAGAACATTATGCTGAGTGAACTGACTCAGTCCCACAAAGATAAATATTGTAAAAAAACCATTATTGTAGAGTGAGTATGAGGATTGGGGTGGGGAGGAAACATAGGGATGAGGATGTGGCGGGGGAGGGGAGACTAATTAAGGAGTTGTATAATTTGATGGGAGGGGTGAGGGAAATTGGAAAACTCTTGTCTGAAAAACAACGTAAGAGAACACTTTAAATAAACTAGTACAATTAAAAAAAAAAGGTCACCCCTCCGTGGCAATTCAAACCCATCCACCTCTCAAATAACACTAGATCCAAGAATTCTTTATGCTAATCCTCTTCTAATTCTTTATAAGCAGGAATGTGGAATCATCAGGATTGGAGGAAGACTCATCAACAACCTATGTTATGCTTGCTGAAACTGAAGGACATGAGGGCATATGCTGCAGAAGGTCAAGGAATATAGTCTTTAAAACAGATTGAAGCTCAACATCAACGATGTCAGTCTGAAGAGTAAAGTGTACCCCACACAGGTCATGGCCGTCACAATTACTTGGTATATATCCAAGAGCTGGGAAATAACTAAGAATGATAGAAGAATAGATGCCTTTGAGTTGTAGTTCTGGAAAAGAGTACTGAACATACTATGGACTTCCAGAACATACAGGTCTGTTCCGGAGAGGGTGAAACCAGGTTACTTCCTGGAGGCAAGGATTTTAAGGCTCTATCTCACACACTTTGGGCACATGGTCAAGAGGGACCAGTCCTTGGAGAGAATCATGAAGCTTGCAAGGGTGGAGAGAAAACACAGGAGAGAAAGACCCAAGATAAGATGGATTGATTCAGTGACTAGAGAAATGGATTTATGTCTGTTGGAGATGATGAGATTGGCTCAGGTTAGGACAGGTTTCAAAGCTAATGTACGTAAGTTTGCTATGAGTCGCAGGCATCTCTATGGCACATAACAAACAACAACATGGCAAGCTTCTGTCTTTTGCATTTCTTTGTGACTTTGCCAGTCTTTTTCACAATGTATGTGTTTGCTGGTTATCTTTTCTAGCTGACCCTGCTAAACCATTTTTTTTTGCCAGTCTCTATATTTTTATTCATTTCTCTCTGTACTATTTCTAATATTAGCTGCTTGTGGCAAGTCTTATACATAACTTGGAGTGCATCTATTCTATTTGCCTCCTATTTTTTCTTTCTTTTTTTGTAGAAAGCAGTAAGGATTTTTACTGTGAAAACAAGAGAAAGAAGGATAACAGGATTTATAAACAAATTAATTGTTCTAGTAGTCCTAGATTCTAAGAACTCTCTATGCAAAGACTGGTCCTCTATAAAACAATATCCAAACTACATTAGCAGATATTTGAGACAGTGCTCAAGTCAATGAGTAACATGTACCCAGAAGGGAGCAATAAAAAGGCATTTTCTCTACTTCCTGTCTCAATATGTTGTGTATAAACAGATGAGGCTCACTGTGGGGGAAAATGCTTTCTTAAAATTTTAATTTCCTCTGTACTCCCAGTTGGGGGGGTGGGGAGAATTTCAAGCCCTAGGCTGAACATAGGAATCAAATGAGTGACAATAATTTTCACACAAACTTCAAGGTTATAATGTAGCTGTGTTTACCATATTCCATACTTTAAAAGAAAAAACTACCATAACATCAATATGAAACCAGTACACTAATTTTCTCCCTTCTGAAGTTTTCAACCAATTAAACTTTTGCTCTGGGTGGACACGTAAAAAGCATCCTCTGACCATCACTGTCCCAAGAGGTACTACACTAAGAATGGGCTACAGGTCAAAAAGATGTATTAGGTCTACAAAGAAGGCAAAAGGTAAGAAGAAGTCAGCTTCTGCAGAAGTTTGGCTGTTAGGACAGATCCTAGTCCTTCTAATGAACCAATCCAGAGGCTTCCAGTGTTTGGAGGCCAGAAGAGCTAAACATAGTTAGTGAACACCTACTTCTCCTCCATGATTTATTGATGTCCACATTGATTGTGGCAAAGCAATTAAAAATACCAGATTCTGGACAGAAAAACATCATTTACCTAGGAAATCATGATCAAAGTATTGATCTAGGAGAAATATTATAAAATGGAGCATGAGGTCTCCCATACATCACTGATGAGATACTTCAGTTTTACTTTATATTAATGTAGTACAAAATGGTTTTTTCCACACAATATGGACAATATGTACATTAATGTTTCTCAAAAGTCAGTTATATTTCCTGCTCTAGTTTTGGTTTAACAGGTGTGTATTGGTTTTTGTCTTTAACCTTTCCTATGATAGGGACCTCTCTAAAGTACGCAGGAGCAACAGTGTCTCCCTAGAGACTAAGGTGCACCTGATACAGGTCATGGTATTTGCAATCACTTGTTATGCATCAGAAGAGTTGGACAATGACTGGGGAGGACAGAAGGAAAGTGGATGCTTTTGAGCTGTGGTGCTGGAGAAG